ACTTTGTGAAGTTGTAGTCACCTTACAAGAGCACCTTGAGAAGATGACATAGATGGCTCTGATGCATCTGTCACAGAGGGGATTGTGAGACTGATCTGATTTTAGTAATTTACTGATGTATGTTTTGACTTTAGTCAAAAGTTTTGATGCTTTAGCATTTACTGCCCATGCCTCATGTTGGCATTATCCAACCTGTCTCAAGTTGTAATATTACTTTCATGCTCTTGTCTTAACACAAGCCTCATGCCCCACCTTTTTCGTATTGCCTAGCTAGCTTTTCTTCCCCCTGTTATAGTAGGTGGTAGTAATGTGCTTTCTGGGATTTCTGCAATATATCATGCCGTGTTAATAGACTAATGCTGTTTTAAATTTAAATTGTACTCTGATTAAATTCTGATCTGCAGAGGGTTCTGTTTTCTTCTTTGTCAGTGTTACTTGTGCCTCTAATATAAGGAGGGTGATTGCTTTCTGTGTGGCTTGGTTGTCTCTCCTTTCATATTGAACCTTTTGCTTGTCTCAGTGTTTTCTGCCCCTTTTCTTGTTTCTGTAACTCATTGAAAATGTATATGAACTTCAAATGAGACTGTCTTCCTTAGTGATAAGTTTCCCTGCAGTATAGCCTCTGTTTGTCTGCTGCAACATACAGAATACACTAAAAATTGTATTCATGCAGTGGTAGTACAGCCTGTTTTAGCTCTAGCTTGAGGAAGAGCCTGTGGAGAAGTTAAATTGTCCTAAAATAAGATAGGAGGAATCAAGAATTTGTGAACAAGGTCATGGTAATACCTGTGTTGTGCCTTCATGAAGTGGAAGATTTGTCAGCCAACTGCTGAACAGATCAGTGTTTGGAGTGAGTCCATACTGGAACTAAAGATCAGATGAGGCAGAAGCTTTGCTAGTTTGAGTCTTTTCATGCAGTGGCTCCATGATTTTGGACTGTATGGTGTGATTAGGAATGTGGTTCTGGGCATGAGGTGAACATGGACGCTTCTGCTTTCAAAGACATGCCAGTCTGTATGTGTGCTTGAGCTCTGATGTGAGGATAGCACAGACGAAGGCAATATTCAAGGTGAAAGCTCTGAAGGCTTACTATAAGCATATGAACCAGGGAGGTACAACTCCACGGCCTGTACCGAGTTCAAGGGCTGCTCCAGAGGTGGGCCTTGGTAGTGTGCAGGAGTCCAGAGCTACATAGCTGAGCCTGTGCCATCGTGATTTTTGGCTGTGATGTGCTGTCCTACACTACTCTCTGAGCTAGACTCAGAGAAATAGCCTAGATGGTACCAAAGGAAGAGGATAGTAGGCAAAGGTATGTAGAGACAGCAGAGGCAGGGGTTAGTATTGTAATGCTGAAAGATATGCCAGGCTTAGCTTGGACAGGATGACACTGAGTGTAGTGAAAGAGCAGAGAAATGCATGCTGAGCCTTGTTTACAGGAGAGTGCAGTTTGGGGTGAAGGTGTCTTTGAGCACGACTGAAGATACTTTTGAAAAAGAGTAGAGTTCAAGAAGGTAATGTTTGAGCACTACTTTCTGTTTTATTCTCCCAGTGTCTGTAAGCACAAGGTGTTTGGGCTGTTGAGTGCCTCTTTGCCTTTCCTCTGTGTCTGAGCATGGGTGCACCTTCCCTCTGATCAGCCCCAATTTCTGTGTGAGGGAGCCTTTCTTCTCTCCATACTATGTTCAGAAGGTCTCTCTTCTTTCTTTATCTCTTGAAAATGCCCCTCCCATTGTGCCCTCCTCCCTAGCCTACGGTTGTAGTTGCAAACACACCTCTGCTTCCTTCAAATGTGAACAAATGGGTTTTTTTGCCTCCCTATTCAGTATAGCTGGGGAAGCTGCAGAGTTTTCTGAGTTGAGAGAGCACATAAAGGCACCTCCTTGCATCTCGCAAGGATGCATATATATTCCTCTCTCTCCTTATAAAAGTGTGTGGGGCACCTATGTTCTGACCTCAATGTTTGAGTGGATGGGGGCTTCAGCCCTACCCTTCCCCTCATGTGTAGTCATGTTCTTTAATGGTGACTCTGTCTGCACCTTCTCGCGTGTCTGTGTATTTCTGCTGCTGCTTATACCTGCCCAAAGGGGAGCAATATTGGCAGGGGGGCCTTGCTGGCGCACTAATATGTGAATAGTTTCTGTGCTTTTCTTCTCATCTCCTCTCTTCCCTTCTCTTGCCCTCTCTCAATGGTGTGTCCAGAAAAGGAAGTCGAGCTCCAGTGTGCATTTGATGGTGAGCACCTCCCGTAAGCTGCCTGTGATTCGTGCGTCCGCCATTCTCATGCCATGCACGCTCGGCTTGTGCTCATCACCCTACATAGCATGTCTGTGCAGGGGGGTGGTGGCAAGGGGCATCATTGTGCACTGAAAGGTCCATGTCCTCACTAAAAGGCCCTTGTGATTGTCTGGCCCCCAGCCAGTCAGACAGTTCCCAACTGCTGGCAACGCAGCCTGACCTTGCCTGCTCCGAGCGTGAAACAAAAAGAGGCAGTGGTTCTCCTAGGCTCAGCAGAGCAGGCGTGTGCCTTGCCTGGACATGGGGCTTTGTCATTCTGTTACAGAGGTGCCAAAAAGAGGAGCAGGTGCTTTGCCTGGTGTTGGTGCCGTCATCCTTGATGGGAGCTCGGCAGTGTAGAACAAACTGGGAGTCGCTCCAAATGTGGCAGAGACTGATGGGGCTCCACTGTTGAGATGAAATGTGTGGGCACAGCACTGCCGGGCAGCTCAGAGCTGCCGGCCACTTCTTTTTTTAGCATACTACTGAAAAGGTTTGTCAGAGCCTTTATAATCCAAAACTTCCTTTTGTCCTGATCTCGTTTATATATCCCAGCATGACCAAATACCCAGTAACTGCCTCCCCTGTCTTGTTCATTTCCTTTTTTCATCTATACAGATGTTTGCTATCCATAGAATTTGTCAGAAAAGTAGTCAAACCCACTCTTAACAGAGCAAAGAGAAAATTGGCCGGTGCCATATTGTAAGGAATCATACACAGCCCATTAGATGATGACTTTGTCTCTTGACACTGAGATATGAACCATAAATAAGGTACAAAAATTAGTTACTGTATAATCTCATTTACACAGAAAAAGAACAGAACATTTTTCTCCTCTATTGCAGGTAGAACAGGAATGTTACATTACTGAGAAAGCAGAATTTGTTTCTACGTTACTATCTGGAAGATATTTCTTCTCTTCCTCCTTCAAGGACAGCCTAAAACTATGTAAACACACACACACACAAAATACTCTCAAAGTACTGCTTGAAAATCTGATGTGAGGCACTATCTTTTTGCCAGCCCCGCCTTTATGAAACTCCAGGGCAGGAATTCACTGTGCCTTTCTTGCCCTTTTCTGCCCCCTGCCAGCAATACTTAAATTCCCTCTCAATGTTGTTTTAAAGCAGCTGGGATATGTAAACCACAAAAGTGGTGGCCTCAGAAAACATGGAAGCCTGAGAGTGGCTGAATAACTAGAGTTAGCCCATGCATTGGTACTTATTTTCTTCCAGTTGGCTAGAAATGTGTCCCCCTAGCGATATGATCACTGGTCTGTTTTTTCTCTTGCACCCTCTGTGTTGTTTGTGCCTGTCTGTCTCTCTTGTCTAGCTCAGGAAGTGCTGCCAACTGCTGTGGCAAAACTAATTATGTTAACATAGGTTTTAAGAAGGACCTGGCACCTTTTTAGGTGAATTGGCCTCTTTTAACTTGCGCTGTGCTGCTGTGAATTACCACGGATTGTAGCCTACGCAGTGACTGTGATGTTGGCTGGCAGGAGGAGTGGAAGGTGGGGTAAGAGGTGGCTGTGCCATCTGGGAAGGGCAGGCCAGTCTTGCCCAGGGAAGGGCAGTTGGTTATGTTAGGCCAAAAGACATGAGTGTGTGTGGAAAGCTAAGTATGTCAGATACCTCCATTTGAGAAAGAGCTCTGAAAAATGGTTAGGTGAAGTCGTCTGACTCTTACTTCTTTAGGACTCTGTCTGGGAGTAAAATGCTATGTGATTCTGGACTAGCAAACTTGATACTTGGTCTTCTTCAGCCCACTGGCTGGAGAAGAGTGTGATGGATGAACCAGGTGTTCAGTGCAGCCTGGAGGGTAGGCTGTGTGCGTGGGTTTGCACTTGGTGAGGTGATGTTCCATGCCTAGGAAGCTGCTGTCAACTTTTTTCAGAACAGTGGCTTCCTGGATGTTTGTTGGTTGGTTGGGTCCTCGTTTTATTTATTTAATGTATTATTATTATTTATTTCCCATTTGGCCTCAGTTATAAAGCCTTCTAAAAAATTGGAAGTATTTTTGTACGGCTTCTTTCATGCTAACTTTATCTTCTTATCCCAATGGACTAAGAAAAATGTGCTGTGTTTTTCTCACTGGAAGAGGTTTGGAAGATAGATCTCTGCACTAGGATCACTGTTTCTGAGAAGTATGGGAACCTCAGTGCTGTATAGAGGACCCAGGCATTGCCAGAATTTTGGTTGTGTTTATGCCACAAAATAGCTTGGGATTAATTTTTTCACATTGATCTGCTCCTCTTTGGCTTCTACAGTTGCCTGTCATCTCTTCTGCCATGAGGCTGGAAATACATACAGGATGCAAAGCACTTTGAAGGCCAAAGTCTTAGGACAATGTGGGGATGTATGGAAAGAGGCATTAAACAGTAATCGGTGAAGTGTTTCTCCTTTCTTAGCTTTGGGGATGAGTGTGTCATATGCTCTTTTGATTTTTTTCTGTGGACTTTAAAAGAATTCATGCCTGTCTCTCTCATCTACTTCCTCCCCTCTCTTACCTGTCCCATATTTCTCTTCTGTTTCTCTTCTCTCCCTTTTGAAAGGGCATAGCTAAGCCAAGGTGTGCCACTTTTGAAGAAAAACTGAAGTATTAGTAGGTGAAGTCTCAGCCTCATAGGATCTGTCACTGGTTGACATGATTAAACCTTTGATAGCTGTTCTCCAGCTCGGCATTTGACTTCTGCGTTCTTTGTGGTGGTTACTGGGTGATGAGGGCATGATGTTTTGCAGTATGAGTTTGCACTCCCCAAGAACAGCTACAGTGAGGTCACACTGCTATGAGCACCCATCTAGTACCTCTGATGTGAAAACCAAGCAGTTTGAGTCAGGCTCCTGCAGTCCTGATTTTGGCATTGTCACTGGTATCTGACAGCAAGAGAGCTCTATACCTGGTGTGGGGGTTATATGCCAGTGTAACTGTGAGACTTATTCTCCAACAACTGACTGGATTTGTGGGCTAGGAACTATATAGTAGTAGACACAGGTTTGGCTTCCTACAGTCTTTGCTCATTCCTGGCATAACTGACATACATGACTCAAGTGGGATATTTCTTTGCAGCAAGCTTGTGACTGTCTAATTGTGTTATGTGAATGCAGGAAATGGAGATATTCTTCTTCTGCTACAGCTACATGAGAGACTAAAGAGGGGGAAGATGAAAAACTAGTGAGCACAATCCAGAGGACTTGCTTCTTGGGGGACTACGTGGCCTTTTCCTTGTGTTGCATCCCTTTCCATATTTTGGTCCTGAAGTCTCTTTGTTCAGGTCACAGCAAGAACACAACACACCATACCTCACCTTTTCTCTAACTTTTCTAGGGCTGAACACACTTTTTCTGGCATTAGTAGATTGCCTGGGACCCTCCGCATCATCGTATACCTAGGACTGTCCCTGGACACTTTGGGGCTTCTCAGACATGACTCCCATTTGTCCCGTTTGAGATTGCACTGTGACTATTGTGTGTCTCACTTCTGTAGTCTCTTGCTCTCAGGGCTACTGCTATCTGTCATTCTTCTTCACCACATACTTTTGTTGGTGCTCATTGCAGGATTCTCCCCATCCCTTTGGGCTGCTGCCTTTTCCCCTTCTGTTTTCCTTCTGTATAGCTCTAGCAGTCCATGCACATTTGGATTTTGGTTCATCCCTTCAATAGCTGTTGCCTCTGAGGGAAGGATGATGTCCAGCAACTCAGGCAGCACTCCTCCTTCCTCCCTTTTCTTGGTGATCAGGCCTGTGGGGAGGGGAGGGTCAGAGGAGATGGTTGGGTTTGAAGCAATACTGTCATTTTCTTGCTGCCTCTGCTGCCCAGCAGGGAAACTAAAATCATGTTTTTCTGTCTCAGCCACAGAGCAACAACAAAACCAGTATAGTAAGCACTGCAAAAGAAACACCCCCAGTGCAGACGTCCATGGTATCTTCCCCAACTGCTATTTTTTTCCTGTTTGGTTTAATTTTGATTCTGTCCTCTCCCCTTCTCTCCTTCCCCCAGTCCCAAATGCTGCTTGTGCTGCTCTGTTTCAGCTTGTGTTTTGGCTTTGTTCTGTGTTCCTGTGCTGCTGTGGGCCTGATCACAGCCTCACAGGCTTTGGGGTGGGGGTGCTGAGCAGAGCTGTGGTTGGATGTGGGGATCGCAGCTTGCCTGGACTTCCCCGTGTGCCATCCCTGTATAGTTCTGTGTGTCCCGTTCAACTGTTCCTGCTGGCTTTGGGGAGGCTGGTTTGGAAGAAGAGAGTGGCAAGCTCCATCCACTCTCATAACACTCAGGAAATGGAGGATGGATGCCAGGACACCACAGAAGAAAGGGGAGGCAAAGGCTTTTTAGAGGAATCCTTTGATGGCCCATTTGGCCTGCTCAGTTGTGTGGTTGGTCCTCTGCAGCTCGCTGACTTGCTAGACTAGCATTTTCTGTTTGGGCTGTGTGCAGCAGACTTCATAGGGTGCCTTGTGCCTAGTATGTTTAACGGCACAGCTTGGTGTGGGCTGCCTCAGTGTGTTTGGAAGATCAGGTAGCGGTGCAGTAGGTGAGTGTACATCACTGCACCATCACAGTCCCTGGTGCCCTTGCTAAGCCACCCTGCAAGAGTGACAGCAGTGAGGGGAGATCCTGAAATCTTGTCCTGGTAATGAAGGGATGAGTGCAGGAGTCTGTTAACCCCCCCATAAGGCCTAGTTGCTTCTCTTTGTTGTATGCTTTGGAGAGTTGGATTTGGAATTTTTGTAGGGTGGGATTTGATGGTTTTGTTGTTTGTTGAAGGATGAAGGGTTCTTGGGACACTTCATAATTTTCTGCTTTCCCTTCACTGGCTTTGTTCGCAATGGGTTTGATGCTGAGTGAGCCTTTCTAAATTATTAACTATTGTCGTTATTATTGAAATTGGATGTCATTTTAGATCCTTGTAGAAAAATTAACTTTTTTCACAGCCCAGTTCCCTTAGCAGCTTCTCTCTGCAAGGTATTGAGGTGGTCCAGCTTATCACATTTTTATTACAGAAGTTATGAATGTCCCTTTTTTAGGGTAAAATATCTGGCAAACGTTCCAAAAAACTGGGAGACAAGGGCCCCAGCCCAATATTATCCTTTCCTCCCCTTCTCTCTCTTCTGAAGCACTTTTCCAGGGGGGCCGCTGTTGAGGGGTCACTACTTCAGGAATGGCTGCAGAGGGTGCAGACTGGCTGCCTGGTTGCCGTCTGCTGTTTGTGCCAGACCGGTTCACTGGAGGCAAATTGGGAATTAGGGGCAATTGCAGGGGAGCCTGGGGGCTTTGTCTCCTTGCATCTGTAGCTTTTAGTGCAGCCTCTCTCTTCAGGAAACCTGTGCAGGAAGTGTGTGTGTGTACACAGAAGCACTCGTGTGCTGTTTGGAGTTTGTGGTTTGGTTTATTTTTTCTATGTCAGTCGCCTTTTCTCCACTTGCTGGGGAGTGAAAAGAAATGACAGAATGCTTTGGAACTGGAGTTTAATGATTCTTCCATCCTTTCCTAGGAGCCTCAAACAACTGTTGTCCATAATGCTACAGATGGCATAAAGGTAAGGTATGGGTGTGTTGCCAGAGAAACCTCCGCTTCACTCTTGTGGTTCTTGCCTTCGTGTGTCTTACTTCAGTTTCTACCTTTCTGACTTCTGGTTTGTAGCATGCTCCTGAATACTGCTAGTAGTCGACTGGGAGGTTTGTGTTGTATGGCTGTGGATCTCTGGAAGAGGCTGAGTAGGGACAACTGTTCAAATATTATCATCTTCCTATTGTGGTGTCTAATCACCACTCTCATTCGTATATGGGGTGGAAGAGACGATACAGGCACTTACACACTTTTTTTTTTGATCTGGAAATGAAGACTTGTTCCCCTGAGAAAGCATAGGAGCCCTTATTTAGCTTTTTGTGGCTACTCTTCTTCCAAATAGAAGCAACTCCCATTTGATCTCATTTGACAGTTTGGTAGCTTCTGTCCTTGTAAAGTTCTGGGTGGACGGCTTGAACGGCTCAAACATGCAAAAGCTAAGCAGAGATGCTGTTACATTTTGCTTATTATTTGGCCTGCTTCCATCCAAATCTTCCTTGTATCATCCTCTCCCTGCCACCCCTGCCAATGTTTTTGTGCTTTTCCCCATCTTTCTTTACAAACAAACCCAACTATTTACTCATGCTCCCGACTGCTGATGCTCCCGACTGGTAATGCTCTGTTCTGCCATGCAGGGTTCCACAGAGAGCTGTAACACCACGACTGAAGATGAGGATCTGAAAGGTAGGTGTTTTGCCTGTAATTCCTAATACTGTTAAGTGCAGGCAGGGGATCCTGGAGGTGCAATCATAGCCTTGAACTAGCTTCCCAGATCCCTGTGTCTGACTCTGTTCATAAATTCACCATGACGCCGTCATTCCTGTCACAGTGGGACTATGCGCTGAGGAACCAGCTGACCTGGCCCCTGTGGTATATAAACACTGTTTGCCCTGAGCTAATTTGTTTTTTATCTCAGAGTTGGAATTCTTTTCTTGCAAATATCATAATCTGTTAATCTCCAGTCCATTTCTGGGCGTGGAAAATCCCTAGCAGTCCTTTGAGATTCGGAGTCTGGTGGTGTTTTTGTGCTTCCCTGTAGGTTACAGGGAGTTGAAACTTCTCTTTTACTGCTTAGGCTCCATTCTCACCCCTTTCTGAGAGTCTCTTTAGTGACATGCCCACACTTCCCTCTCTATTTTTTTCTTTTTGGGTCTATTTTTGTTTCTAAGTTTAAGATAATTCTCAGCCTATTGTCTCTGCATGGAAATGATTTTTTGTGTCCTTGACTGAGATACCAGTAGAGGGAGAGGCTGGGAAGAGATTTCCCACCTTTCACTGACCATATTGTAAATATTCTGTGCTTGTAGAACTCTTCAGATGAAGGAGCTCTGAGTCCCATATCTGCTCATGTTGTTTAAGGAGCTGTCTTTTTTCCTCACATCTCTAAAGAAGGACAAGCAGACATTTTCCTGAATGAGTGGGTTCGGGATGTGTGAATGCAGTTTGCATTCTGAGGCAAATGTGTTAATAGTCTGCATTTTGAGGCAGAGGTATTCTCATTTGCCCTGCAGTCAATCTGAGTTACATATCCAGGGAAAAATCAATGCTGATCCTGTGGTGTAGCAACAATGTCACCTCTGTCAGCTGGGCTAGTTCCTGATGCTTTTCCCATGGCTTATCACAAGCTACTGGCTGCTCTTCTCTGAGGAGTCATAGGGAGCAGAATGCATGCCACTGAGTGAACGAGCTCTGCAATAGAGGTTGTTTCAGATAAGACCTGACCTCGTTACAGAACAGTATTCTAGCTCCCACCTTTTTGACAAAGAGTACTCCGTGGTTTAAGAATCCAGCTTTGAGGGAGGGGAACTGAATTTTTTTGTAGTGTGGTAATGAAACTGATGCATGTAATCTCTGCTGGATATCCATCCAGAACAGGTATTTGTCCAGAACCTTGTCTCCTTTGGCAGCTTTTGTTCAGAAGAGGTCCAAGGCTTACGCCGTTTGAGCCAACAGGTCCTGTAAGTCAGGAATAGAAATGCTGTGAGGAGAAAAAGGCTAGGACTGGAACAGAAGGTGGGGAGAAAGAGGGCAGCTGGCCAGGGCTAAATCTATGAAGAATCGTATAGGGCTGCATTGCTGCAGATCAAAACTGAGGTATTTTGGGTTGTTTGGGGTTGTTGGTTTTTTGGTGGGAGGTTTTTTTTTATTATTTGTTTGGGTTTTTTTTTTTGGCAGAGGTTAGAAATTTTTGTTCTGATTTTGCTAGAAGGGAGCATTTGAATGTTGGTCGGGAGGGAAGGAGCTTGCACAGTAATGGTTTGTGCTATGGACAGCTCTGGTAATTTTAGCACTTCAGTTTTAAGTGTATCAGTGTTCACCAGTGTTCCTTTTCAACTCCTGCCTCTCCATGTTTTAAGCTAAGCAAGCATTAAAGGAAAACTAAATAGACCAAAAGGTTTGGGGGTGTTGGAGTTCTTGGTGTTCTTCATAGCCATGACTCTGGGAAAAGGGAAGTGTCTGTGCAATTCCTCAGCCAACTTCTTATTTCCAGTAGCCAACAGGTGACACAGATCTGTTCTTCTGTGGTGTGGGAGACGTCTTCTTGATCCACCAGTGACAGTTGCCTCAGGGATACATTGCTTTGACTGTGGTGGGGTAAAGGCAGCAGCCCCCTCCCACACCTCCCTGTGCCATTCTAAATTGCACAGCAGGTCTGTGTTATAGAGGTATCTACTTGGCTTTGCCCTGGAGGATACTCCTGCATGTTTTGTGCCCAGCATTGTGGTTTCTTTAATGTTCTCCTATTTCCTTTCTCTTTTTTTATTTACTGAACTTGCGTGTTTTGATTGTGTTTGTGTTTTAATTCCCTGCCATGCTAGCTCCCCCTCTCTCCACCGGGGACGGCAGCTCAGTGCTTGAAGGACGGAGGCACAGTGAGAGCAAAACACAGACTGAGTCCATGCAGTCCCAGCTTTCTCTCTGTTTCTCAGCCAGTAAGTCCAGGGGTGCAGTGCTTCATGGCATCTTTCTCCCACCCCTCCCACCACCTTTCCCATTTCTCCTTCCCCAAAGTTTTTCCTTTCCTCAACTTCCTTCCAGAATGTTGATTTTTCATTTCTAGTTACTCCAGAATAAAAACAAATCATCTCCCTTCCTGAAAAATATCCTCCTTTGCACACTGAAAATTTCCAGAACTTTCCAAAACCCCAGTCAGAATCTCATCCTAGCTAATTTCATTCCTTTGCTTTCATCTGAGTGAGGCGTGGAGTTCTCTGCAGACACTGCCTTTCAGGGTGTCCTTGGGCAAGTCACAGCATCTCTTAGTTTTCCTTGTGGTAACTGGGTCAGTGGTACAGGTCTGCTTATGGAAGGGATGTGCGAGGCTGAATTCAGTCTCATTTATCAAGAACTTCTGAACACCCCAGACGTGGATGGTGCTCAGCAGTTACAAAAGGAAGGAAAAAAAGTTTTTACAGGCTGCTTCAAGGATGCTTGGAAGAGAGGCTGTGGCTGCTGGAAGATCCCATAGCATTTCCGGTGCTCTGAGTGGAAATCCTTGGATAATGTTGGCTCTGAGGGGCATCTCTCTGTCATGAGCTTTTACCTTGCGTGTCTGTCTTGAGAGCTCTGTTAGCTGGTACTGTGGTTAGTCTGCCAGTTACAGACAGTGCCATCTGCCTGATCTCTCCAGAACTGGCTGCCTCCGTAGAGGAGCCTGTGGCTGAAAAACTCTGAAAATGGATATGAAAAAAGCTAGTAGGCTGGAGAAGATCTCGGTGGGATTCCCAGCCCTTCCCCTACACAGACATACCATGCTGGCTGCCTACTTAAAGCTATAATGGAACGATCCCTAACGTGAGTTGGGAATGTCTGAGTATTTTAATCTGTTGAGGTCAGCCTGGGAAGGAAAGAACAGGCATGCCCTCTTCTGTCTCCTCCAGTCTTCCTTCCCTGGTTTCCTGCATACAGCAGCAGTATATCTCGTATGATGCAGCAGCTTGAGCCTCTCTGTTACTTATTTTTGAAGTAGTTGTAAGGATTGTGGGGTCCAATGGGAAGGGTGTTTTGCCCTACCAGAACGGAAAGGAAACCATCTCTTCCGAAGTCTTTTTTGCTGTGAACTGTTCATCACTGCTTTCTTAACTTCTTTGTGCCTCTTGCTTATAGCAAGGCCCTGTTTGGTAGGCTGAGGAGTGCCAAATCACTTCTCTGCCAAGTGGGGCAGGGGTCTCCCATCCCACTCCCCTCCAGGTTGAGATTTGCAGTGATGTGGATGCCCTACTTTCTTTCTCTTTCACTCACATCTTGTACTTGCCCTCGTGCTGTTTTGTCACTACTCTAACCAATGTTTCAGGTCACCCTCAAACTACCTCCAGCAGCATTAGTGCGATTCCTACTGTGCTTTGACAGGTCATCTTCACCAGTGCCAGGGTGTTCCCCTTGAGTAGCATCTGGCCCAGCCAAAGGGTGACAGAGGCAGGAGAGCAGGTTGAGGTTGCTGGAATGTGGATGTCTCTGTGTGCCAGTTGGGTTGGGGCTCTGTGTGTTTGTACTTCTTTGTTAGTTTTTATTTTGCTTTCTGGTTTTGTTTGTTTATTATTTTAACGCTTAACATTTGTTTTGCAGCTACACAGTCTTGTGAAGAGAAGCTTCATGCCTGGGACAGCCCAGGGCAGACATTGGAGTTAGAGCGTGCTCAGTCGGAGCCTTTGCTAACTCCAGTAGTTCCCTTTGTACTTAACCGTGCACCGTGTAAGTTAGCAGCTGGGTAGCAGTAGTTGAGTAGTGCAACTAATACTAGTTACCGTAGATGTAAAGCCCCGTCCCCTTTCTTCCCTCCACCCCTGTGCCCCGCGTCCATCCGAGGAGGCACAGAGCGCCCTCTGCGTTCCCGCTG